TCTATGCCCCAGAAGCAAAAACTCTGTCCTCCCGCCTTTGCCCCTCAGGTCTGCGTATGAGGTGTGTCTTTATATAACATCCCAGCAGCTAAGAAAGGAGAAATTGTCCACTTCCTAATGCCCGATGGGCTCTTCTGCTCTTTGTGTGAACTCCTTCTGACGACAGACTCGTCCACAGATCAATATCTCCCTTTGAATTTGCAAACGATAAGGAAGGAGACCTGCGAGATGTAATTCCTGAATAAAATGTGGAGAGGAGCCTCCTTCAAGCTAGAGGGATGCTAGGAGTGAAGCGGGCAGAGGGAAGCAGGGATGTTGGCAGCACGGTGGAGGGAGGGACCAGTGCAGAGCTGCAGTCTTCCAGAGAAGGTGGTAAACAGAGACCAAGGCGGTCCAGCCCAGGTCCAGCTCAGGCCACACCGCGTGCTAGGACCTGAAGGACACCCAGGATGGGGAACGGGACAGGGAGCTGGCCCAGAAATGGTGGAATGTCAGAGCTGGGCCATTTTACTACATTTGTATGAAAGGAACAAGGGAGAAAGGGAAGAGAGGGCTACCCATGAGAACAGGGCCAGCAGGAAGAATATTAAAACACCTCGTCGGCTGGGATGTGGAGGAGCGGGATGCTGAAGTCCACTCGCGGGATGCTGAAGTTCGCTCCACTGGCTCCTGAGAGCTCATTGTTAAATGTTCAGGATTTTTGTGAGCCTGTTGACATCATGTGCCTGAGGACACTGAGCTGCTAAAAGGTTTTAGCTGGGATTCATACAGGCTATTTCCAGGCCTGCCCTTCACACCTCTTAGGCCAGTGAGCAGATAAGGATATTATTTTGCATAAACTCTTTGGATTGTTATTTCCTTTAGGGTCTCAGTGGTCCAGCTAGGGCTTCTTACTATAAACGGATTAGTCATAGCAACCCTTAAACAAGGCTGGGGTGATTGGCTTCCTTCCCCCTAGAGTAGGTAACAGTGAACTTCAATGAGTGGGCCAACCCACTTTACCCAGTGTTTTTTCTGTGGGTTGTAGCAGTAATATTAGTAGATATCAAGTCAGACCATCCCGGGTCAGTCTGGCACACGCTCCCCAGTACCGTGCCTCGCAACCGAAATTTTAACAAAGCAAAATTCTCTCATACGTCTAAATAAATATACAATAGTACTGTATAAATATGCCACTGTGCATTTAAAAGTTTCTCTTTCTCTAGGCCCAGAAATCACTTACACTCGAGAAAAATACAGATCGAAGGGGTCCCCGACTTAACAGAGAAGTCAGGTCCAAGGAATGAATGCCAGGCTATACGCTGCTTGGAAGTGTGTCAGAGGAGGGAGCTGATCGCTTTAAAAAAGGTGGTGAAGCAAACAAGGGTATTCCTTAATAGCTTCTCATTTAATCTGAATTGCAACCAATTTATTCAAAACACTGACCTTTTGTGAGCCTTTGGCTTGGACTCCTTCCTTATCACACACTCACATCTTGTAGGCACGAGAACCTGCTCTTTCATGAACTTCGATCTAAGATGTAGCCTTTCCTCCCATTGTGACTACAGACAATAAATCACACAGTAGTGTATTCACAGTACCTGTGACCTCTCCCCCACGCTGTCCTCTCTTTTCACATTAACTATGGTCGTATCTAAGTATTGAACGGGTTAAAGAAAGAAGCACATGTCTGTCGTACAGTTTCACAAATGGTTTACTGTTTTGATGGCTGAATTTCAATATAACTGGTTTCCTTTTTGAAAAAAAAAAAACCCGCAATGAGAGACCACTTCAGATCAAACAGGATGGTAATAGTTATTAATAAAGTAATGATCATCATAATGAAAAATAGGACATATTGCTGAGGATGTGAAGGAAGTACAAGCCTCATCCACCCTGCATGTGTCATGAGGATGCAACACGGTGCGGCCTCCGTGGAAGAGTGCTTGTCAACCCCTCAAGAAGTTAAACATGGACGTACTATATGATCCAGCAATAAGGAAAAAAATCTGGATTTGATTTGGAGAAAGAAGTCCCATCCTCTCTTTGCATTTCTTAAAAAATGGACAGCTACTTTAGTAAGGAAGGCAGTGCTGTTCTTCTAAGGGTTGCTCGGACAAAAATGAACGGCTCGGCATGGTCTTATTTGCTATCTATTAATTTTAATGCTGCAAAGCACAGACGAGCCCTGGGCAAAGGCCCCAGCTGCACAGAGAGCAGGGAGCTGGAATTAGCTTTGGAAAACCTGGATTCAAGTCTGGCCCTGCTACGGAAAGGCTGTGTGTCCTTAGAGAAGTCCTTTCACCTCCTTGGGCTTTTGTTTCCTCTGTATAATGAGAGAGTCATAGCTTGCAGGGTTATTTACAAGAAGCAAAAGGTATAATGTAACTGAAAGCTTTCCAGCGTCTGCAGGTAGGTGGGGGGGGGGCTCCACCTCTCCTCTGAGTTCAGGTGGCACTTCTTATTCACAAGCCCATTGCTCCTGCCGCTGTGCTGTAATTCTATTTTGCCTGATTGTTTTCCCCTCCAGAGCACGAGCTGCTTATGAATGTGTATGTGCTGGTGGTGGGGGTGGGGGTCGCCTATTTGCTTCTGCTTTCCCTATACACAAAAATAATGGTAGTTCCTGCAGATGACTCTTCAGTGAATGAAGGAATCAGTAAATGGGTGGGTGGGTGGATGCGGCAAATTCCAGTGTGTACACAGCCTTGGGTAATGGGTAGGGATGGGTGAGGTCTGGTGCAGCACTTAATCAGCTCCTCCTTTTCTAAGTTTTACACGTATCATCCCTCTGCTTACTTGTTAGTTTTACCACGTGTGTATGTATCCCTGAAGCATGCATGCTTTCAGATTTATGTAACTTAAATCATACTTACGGATTCTTCTGAAACTTAACTTTTCTTATTCAAAATTGTGTTTTTAAGATTCAGCTGTGTTGAGGGGGAGGGTACAGCAATATAGCTCTGTGATAGAGTGCAACACAGCATGCATGAGGTCCTGGTTTCAATCCCCAGTGCCTCCATTAAAACTAACTAACTAAATAAATTTAATTACCTCCCTCTATCAAAAAAAAAAGCTGAAAAAAAAAGATTCAGCCATGTTGATGTGAGTAGCAACAGTTCGTTCATTTCTCACCATCACGTATTCTTCTATTCTGAGAACACACCATGTTGTGTTTTTTCATGCTCTCACCTATGGCTCTCTGGGCTCTTTTCAGTTTGGAGCTATTAAATAAAATGCTGCCATTGGCATCTTTTTGCAAACTGGCAGTGTCCCTCCGCAACCCTGTGCATTTGGGAGCTTATGTGCTATGATGGCCCGAAGAGCTTCCTGGTCCGATAGTGCAGGGAATGGAACACAAAGTCCAACCGCAAACCTTAGGAAACACGACTCTGGGCTTTAGAGCAGTCATTTCAGTTCACTTCTGACTTCACAAGAAAGTTCAACAATCTGGGGTGGAATCTGTGTGGCAGACATTGTCAATAGGACAAGGGACAAGGCACTCATCACAGTGTGTATTCAGTTGGTCACCAGTGAAGGCAGGATAACAGGTCTCCTGCCATCTGAGTGATCAAATCCTATCCTGGGCGTTGAGGGCTTAAGAGGAAAGTTAAATTTCAAGTTTGTATGTTATAGTATCTATCAGTTTGGACAGGTTCTTTTTTTGCATAAATTAACACTTGGAGATTGAGTGAGCAAGAACTTTGGAGTCCGATCAACCTGAGTTCATATATTTAGCTCTGTGACCTTGGGACAGTCACTTAACCTCTATGACTATCAGTCACCAGATCTGTAAAATGATAATAATAAGCAGATGTGCATAAAGGGTTAAATGAAATATATACAGAAATAATTTTTCAATCTTTTAAGCACTTTGTATAGATAGTATATCTATAGATACAGGCTTAGATACTCACATGAATAGAAATGTGATACAGTTTTTCTATAGATTGTATTGATTAAAGTTGGGAATTGGTGAGACCAGGATCCTCTCCAGGGAGGTCAGGGGATGCTCAGCATCACCTGGGGCATGACCACTGCCCATGGTCCAGAACGTTGGCTTTTTAAAAACTCAAGCAGAGCTCATCAGGCATTGAGGCAGACTGAACTGACCAAATGCCAATCTATTTTTAATAGGGAACATAAACACCACAGTCCTCCTCTGGGATGGTCAGTTCATTACCTTCTTATGGCAAAGTCTCCTTAGGTAGCCGGATTATACACTGAAGGCTGGGGGTGGGGGTAGGCAGGGTGGTGGGTGTGTGTGGTGTGTGGTGTGGGGTATGGACCAGATGCTGAGTGATAGGAGATTAGAAAGATGGCCTATGGCCAGTATCACTGAGTCATGACAGCCTGATTCATCCAAGGGGAGGAACCAGCCACAGGCACAGGTCCTACTGGAGTCCTGGACACACTTGGCTTTTGGCATGTTCCTTGACAAGGCTCCTCATAGACCATTCCTTTTTGTTGCCAAAGGACTTCTTGGGTATGCTTGTTTTTTGATTTTTTAATCATTAGTCGTAACTAGTCTATTTTTTTATTTGAATATGTATTTATCAGGTCTTGCTTAGATTTTCTAGTCTTGTTCTTTTTGCTTTTGAACCAAGAAAGATCTTCTAAGTCAATGTCTACTTTATCCTTTTTATGTTGTCTTCCCAGCCCTGAGCCCTGGGCTGGGCACCCATTCTCAGCCCAGGATCCTGCCTTCTAACTCGTAACACACCCATCTTGCCCAGGGTACTAAAATGGTACCCATCTGTGCCATCTCTTAACCTGTAATTCCCTAATAGATACAAAAATCAGGGACAACTAGCACATTTCTAAGGTTTACCTCTGAATTACATACTAGATGGTTTTTAAAGTTCACCTCTAAAAGTCAATGACTGTGTTTAAAACAGGTAGCTTTTCAAAAGACCGAAGTCTAACCCCTCAGTGAGTGAGACTGAGTGTTCTCAAAATAAATGCTCTTAAACAGAAACATGCTCGAGTTCCCTTAAGAGTGTAACCTACAGGAAGGGAAGTCATTGTCACCTGTCCTTTATTTGTGGTAATTTGCATGTTAATGATTGAACAGTTGCAGACCAGTTGGTTGGATAATGAACTTGGTCTAGACGTGTTGTATCGGAGTAACCAGTGTGGACGCTAACAGAATGCCAAACATCACTTGGAAAGAGAGATTAATCATTAACCCTACTAATTCACTTGGCATTTTTAAGCAAAAATGACCTCCTTAAATATATCACATGGGTAAAGACCAAATGCACATGGCTAGTATTACCTGCTAAAACTTCCAGACAATCTTGTTATGCTGGGAAAAAAAATTGTTGTCATTTGTGAGGTGGTTTCCGAAATAAATTAATCCAAACAGGAAAGTGGTTATCTATTAGAATCTGAATAATTTCACACACATGGTATTTCTTCACTAGTAAGGCCAAATCAGAAATACCCAAGCCTGTGAAACAGTGATGCTAAAGTGACGTGAAAGTCACAAAGGGCTGAACTCACATGAGAGGAGTCGTGGTAATTACTACTGGAAAGGGAGTTACTGAAATTGTTCTCGTGCAGTCGGAGAAAATAAAGATTTACACTGTGTAGGCTGCTGAACACTGAGTAGAGTCTCTTTTCTCATACTTATTTCCAAGAGTAACTGATGTAGCTTTTACTATGAATCAGCATTATAGAAGGGAGTTAAAAATAAAAACCCGACCAAGAGGAGTTAAAAGAGATGCAGGGGTTCCATCTCACTGGAAATGGATGAGATGTTGCAGAGAGAAGCAACGTTTAGTTCTGTGTATCTTATCAAGGAGGCCCTGGAGGGGCGGCATGGTGGGTTACATGACCACTCATGTCTGATAAGACACTCAACCACTCACTCCATAAACATGAGGCATCTCCGTGTGGGTCAGGATATGAGCTAGGTCTCAAAGAAGGAAAAATACGAAGGCAGTAGCTCACAGCTTAATGAAAGAAAAAAAAATGTAAAAATCAATCCCAGTACAGTGAAATCTGTGCTAAAATAAAGGAAAAGGAGGGGTATGGGGCCCCTACATGGAAGGAGTCATGCAGTCACGGTCTGGAAGGAAGGAGACAATCAAGAAATGGTGGCTGAAGAATGAGTTCATTGGGGGATGCACAGTTTGGGCAGAGGAAGCCTCATGGTGTGTGTAGGAAACGACCAGGAGCTGGAGTTTACTGGAGCATCGCTGTTGGTGGGCGATGGAGAGTGAGTGTCAGAGGTCAAAAACGATAGGTAGGTGGACGAGATACACGAAGGCTCTTTCCAAGGGCTCAGCCGTGGGACTAATGGATAAGCGCTGCTTTTCTGTGCTGACTGGATCATTCTCTGCATCTCTCCTTGTTAATTTTTCCTCCTGCTTTAGTTTTTCCCCTCTGCAGCGGCCGTCGGTGGAAATGTCCTCCTGGCCTTCTTGTCCTTGTCTTGGAATAGCATCCTTGTGTTTTTCAGCTCTGCCTCTTTGTGGTCCCAGCCAACAGGGTTTCATCTGGAGCTGCATTCTTCTCACACGATGGGCTCTCCTATGCCAAGATGCGACAGTCACGTCACCTGCCTCCTGGACACGGTTGGGCTAGAGGTCGGCATCCACGCCAGGGCCAGCCCCAGTCCCTCTCTGTCTGTAGGAGCCAAAGACCGTTTCATCTCTATCTGTCAGGTGGAGGAAGGTGGTGGGTAGTGAGAAAGAGTGGCCCACAAAGAGAAAGAGAAGAGAAAAATATTCACAGTCAGTCCTGGCGACATTCAGGTGCTCGGTTCCAGCTCTCCTGAGGTCTCCCTGCGTCCCTGCTTTCTGTGGTCTGCTCACTCTTTCTTCGGATTACCTGGGCATCTTTATCCTCTCACCAGAAAGCTCGTTCCTTTGAGCCAATTTGAGTTGGGGAGTTGCTGTGGTTGTTTTGAATTCCTTTTTCCCTTTTCTGACTTGTCCCATCTCATCCTTGGCTATCAAGCCTTACCTCTCCGGCAACAGCAATAATAGCAACAAATACATGACACCAACCACATGCCAGGTGATGCTCTAAGCTTTCTACAAATATTAAGTCATTTAATTCTCACAAAATTCCTCTGGGGTAAGTGCTATCATATGCCTATTTCATCGACGAGGAAACGGAGGCACAGAGAGTTTAACGCACACAGCAAGTAAGTAGAGTTGCTGACTTGAACAGGAGCTGGCTGGCTTCGGATGTCATGGTCTGAGAGCAGCCAGTCCGATGCTGCCAGCAAGTGAGGAAGACAGGGAACTCAGCAAGAGGGCAAAGGAAACACGCTGCCCCAGGATCCAAAGAAGCTCAGGCCTTAGGACACTGGGTTCTTTTAGCACCAGAGCAACTCCCGAGAGACAGACATCTCTGGGAGGAAGGTTAAGCCTGTCCCATTATGGTCCAATCATTGTCTCCAGGCCCACTCTGTCATAGCCACGTGCTTTCCTCTCGGCCCTGGTGGTTTGGGCCCATACCAAGAGGGGCAGCTGCGCTCAGGCAAATGCAGCAGTCTTATGGCCCCACACTGGCCAAGAGTAAACAGCAAACCTCATGTCAACATATCTAACATTTACCATTTGTTGTGGTTTGAGCTATCAAAACCTGGAAAAAGCTTAAAGTCTATACTGTCATTGTGATTTTTGCCAATTTCTTCTTGAACTTTGATTCCTCCAAGTTCATGGATGGTGCATTTTTCACTGTAGATAGGTTTGTGTTATATTCTGACTTAAGGTTGTCTTTTGTACCATGTAGCAGGGGCAGAAATGTACTCACACCATGTTCCTTTGAGCCCAATGGACCTTAACCTTGACAATTCATGGCATCTCTGGTTTACATTCATCATCTCTCTTGGAAAGCTCAGTCTCTCCCAGACAAATGCACAGTCATTCTGACTCCTTCATCCTCCCACCCCCTCTTCAAAGTGGTGTCTAGGTGGTCGGGGAGGGGGCTGGTTGGGGAGAAGAGAGCCCTGGATTCTTGCTCACCTCCATGCTGAGTGCCTGGGGTGGTCATTTGGCTGGTGAACTTTAAGGCCTCTTTAGGAGGCCTTGACTGGGGCTGAAGTCTGTGGCCTTGAACTTTTGTTCATCCAGTCCCACTCCCTGTGGCCTCGGAGCCTTCAAACAGGATCCGTTAATCTAGACTCTCTCAATATCTTTGTGTCCCTGCCCACCCCACCCCCACCACGGAAGTGTAAGGGTCCCCAGCCCACCACCTAGAGGCCACACGTACGCCATGTCAGGCCAGCTCCGTGGCCGCATCCCTCAATCCCTGCAGAACCACCCTATGTGGTATTGTCTCCCAGGCTCCCAAATGGGGGAAACCTCTCTGCTTTTGGCTTTCCTGTCAGCTTGTCTGATATGCCTGCCCTAGGGCTTGGGCCAGAAGATGGCAGAACACATGGGTTCCCTCCCCTCCTCTTTCTTTGCCCGGTCTCTGTGAAGGTAAGGCATAATGATCTTCCCCCTTCCTACCCCTTCTGTGGGGAGGGACTTGCCACACTTTGCTTCTTCATTTTGTCATGACATTAGAATAGCATTTTAAAATCTCTAATGCGTGCAGAGCATGTTACCACATTCAATTGCATCTGAAGCTTTACTGTAACTGAGCACAGCAGTTAACATCATCCCCATTTTACAGATGGGGAAGTGAGACTTAACAGGTGAAGAAAGTTCCCAGGGTAACAGAGTAAGTCAGGGACGGAGCCAAGACCTGAGCTGTGCTTTCTGCCTCAAAGGCCAGTGCTTCCGCCTTTTTGTATGAAACAGATCTCGTCTGCCTGTGATCTAAGTCCGTGACTCTGACAGTGAAGGGAAGACCTACCGGCTAAGGGCGGCGAGGGGACAGCCTGTACAGAGCGCCTGCGGCAGGCTGCGTTCTGTGGAGTTAAAGATAAGGAAGTAGGGAGCAACAGAGGCCTACAAGCCCTTCTCTCCAGTGAAGACAAAGAGGATGGAAAGCAAGGAGGAGTGAGGAAGTGTTGAGAGGAGACATAAAGTATATGACAGAGAAAAAGCCCCATGGTTACAGATACGACAGACAGTCCATTATTTGCCCCACCACGCCCCCTACTTCCCAGGAAGGCCACGGTGCCACTCCGGCCCTTTGCTATCTTAAAGTCAAAAGAAGGTAAAATTCCCAGGGTCATCATACATTATATAGTGGAAGTCCTGCCTCTCGTATCAAAGAGATATGCAGCAGAGTCGAGGTGACTGCTTTCCCTCACCAAGTGTTACCACTGTGTGGCTGGCAACCTCGTTTCTGGGAGGACCTTACCCAGAATCATGTGCTCCTAGCCCAGAGGGTCTGTGTTAACTTTTTCTTGAAAATGCAAATTTCAGCTCCAAATGCAATAGCCTCCCTTGGAATTTAAAAGAGTTCTAGGTTGTTTAAAGGTTGAGTGGAATTCCTGAGCCTGTTAACTGGTCACAGTCTACTGACTCTCATAATTAGCACGGGACCACTGTACTGTGCAAACGCCACTCAGTACTCAGCAATGACTAACCGCTCCGTCTCAGACTGTTTACTTAAGAGTGGACGGCTTTCATCCACAATCGATGTTTCTGGGTAGTTACTATTTAACACCAAGAGATGAGAGAGGGTGACCCAGTTCCCTTATCCCTTCACAACACCCCCCCCCCCAACTAAAGCTCCATCCTGGCCACCAAATCCCAGCATTCTAGGTGACCCACTTCCAGATCTTGTCTGGCTATAGAGGCATGAGACCTTGGGAAAGTCACTTCCCTACCCCGAGCTTCAGTTTCCTTATCTGCAAACTCTGGGGGCTGAATTGGGTGATGTCAAAGGTCTTTTCTACCTGTAAGGTGCCGTGATTGAAGAAGAAGATGAAATGTCTCCTTCTCTGTTAAAACTCAGGTATATTTATTACTGACTGAAAACCACAGCACGACAGACTCCAAGCAGACTATGGCAAGTACCTCAACCTCTTGGAGCTGTTCACATTCCACCTCTTATTTCCATGGACAAATGCAAGAAGGAATAAAGATATTTGCAGAGTAACACTTTAAAAAATGGCAGAAGGCAAGAGCACAGTTAAATATATGTGTATACAATGGTCACCTTCCCTACAATTTTATTTTTTAGGGAGAATATTAGAAATGTATTTGTTTGGAGACAATACCAAAATGAGTCACATGTGGTGGCAGACATGTGAACGCCAAGGAGAGGAACTTGCTTACTTCTAAGCGGGGCAGAAAGTTGGAGAATGGAAAGAGCTTGGTGGGAGTGGGGATGTAGCAAGGTGGGTGCTGTGTGAGCAGCCAGAGACAGAACTGTCAGTGGGGAGCGGGGCCCAAAAAGGGATTGTTCCAGGTTGCAGGTATGTCTAAGATGGATTTGACCTTGCTTGAGGTGGAATGAGTGAGGTCAGCCTCCTCTTTCATTTACCCTAACAGATCTTCCATCAAGTACACTGGGTATTTATTATGTGCACGTGGGCATGTGAGTGTGCTGCCTTTGGGGGTATGTGGAAGAGAGGCTGAGCTCTCACTGGACTGATGCCGGGGAAATCAGGGGCAGCACTTTGATACAAGGATGCGCTGGTCCCAGATGATGCCTGAGCTGCTCTCTCTGTACTTACCATCACCTGTCTGGTCCTGGCTTGTCTTGATGCCGGGTGTACACGTGCCTCAGTCTTCACTTGAGGTGTCTTTCTTTTCCACCTCTCCACATCCTGCTCATTTCTTCAAAGCCTAGTTTACATTTTCCCTGATCCCTCCCCCCTCTCTCTGCCCTCCTTCATTCACCAGTGACCACAATGCCCCCAGGAAGCGTGCTTCCTGAGTGCAATACCTTATTTTGCTACTCACTTCGCCGGCCAGAATAGAAGTCCGGGTGGGCAGAGCCCCTGTGGCTCTCTTTCCATGGTCCCTCCAACACCTAGCTTCGTGCTGGGACAAAGCACACATTCAACAACTTTGAATCAATAAACAAATGAATATCATTAAGCACCTATTAGTCAGATCAATAGTGACAAATACTCCTGGAAAGACAATGCTTATTTAAAATATATCCCAAGCATTTTTTCTGTACACCACCCTCCCCCTCCAACACACACACACACACACACACACACTTCTTTGTCAGGATTTAAGACAGTTCCATGTTTTTGCAAACATGTCTACATTTAGGAGACTTCTTGCCTTTTGTGGCTCTCACCTGGGACGTGTTCATTCTTCCATAGACCTTCACTGGGCACGCACTATGGGGCTGTCTTCTTCCTAAGAGCCACCATCTCTCAGAGGCATCCTAGTGTCTGGCAGAACAACAGTCCCTCGAAGCTCTCTACAGCCTAACTTCACCAGGATATGCAGACAAAAGCCAGTTAAAGTAGCTTTTAAGTTCTCATTTGGTTGTATAAATAAGACTCTTGCAACAACTTCAAGTAGTTACCTTCGACAATCACCCTGCAAGAAGGCAAGGAGAGCTAAGAGCCTGTTTCAAAACCGAGGCATTCACAATTTCCCAGGCCGGCTGCCTCTGCCGGGGTGTTTACTGGGTGCACTCTGAAGCAGTGGCCTTGGAGTTCGTGGGCACGGGGGCCACATCTCTGGCCCCGGGAGCCGAGCGGCGCGGCCCTGGCATGCTAAGTGGGCAGCACTGGGGCGCCTTTGTTTCCCGCCGTCTCCGAGGACCCGCTTCCCTCTGAATCTTAATGGGCTGCTCCCCCACCCCCTCCGCCCTGGCCCTGTGGCCGGGGGCCAACGCCCCTCAGTCATGCATCCCGGACCCCTGGGGTGGGAGTAAACCCGGACCCCGCGAGTGGGGAGGGGGGCGCCTCCAGCCCCAGCCTGCGCCGGCCGAGCACCTGCGAGGCCCGCGGAGGAGGCCCCCGGCTCC